GTCCTGCATGATGTAACTTCTGTGTATTCCAAGAAGAGAACTGTGAAATCAGGAACCTTGCAAGCCTTTTTTCTAAGCCTCTCAAGTGCGTATGAAGAATCACACTCATTCAGGTTTCAAAAATTCTGGCAAAAAACTGCCAAGCCACATAAATAAGCATTTTCAATAGTCTAATCCAGGCGTACAGCTCTCTTTGTGGAGATGAAGAATGTTTTAAGTGTGCGAGATCTATCCACACATTGTACTAGTAGGAGACTTAATATTTGTACAGAGTCATGTGTATTAGGAATAGCTTACCATTGACAAACAGTATGCATTAGGATTAAAATCACTGCCAAGAGCAACTATAACTCCTTCTTTTAACATTTTCCTAGCTTGAGGTTGCTTCAGTCTAGTGGGAAAAAGACACTTGTCAGTACAATCCATTTAGCTATGACATGATGAATTACAAGAGCAAAAGTCATTACTGAGTTTGACTACATTCATGCATTCAGTTAAACTAATCATTTTGGAGACAGAAGGCCAAATTCTGCTCGTGGCTACCTACCTATCACCCTATTGACTGCATAAATAGAAACTGTGATCCAGTGCTTTTGCAGTAATTGTGTTGTGGGGCCAGCCACTCTCGAGCATCAGGCCCCAGGCCAATGCAATTCTGGAATTTATCAAGTCCTCAACTAGTTAAAGGTTTACAGAATCAAAATCTTCCTTTTCTCAAAAAAGTAAATTTCCAATCCTCACAGCCTCAAAGATAGACTTCCAAATATGAAAACTGGCATAACCAAAACAATGTTCTCTTCCTGATTTTGTGGGCAATTTGAAACAGTTATCCTAGGCTACAAATTTACTTTGTATACATCAAAAGATTTTTCTCACTTAACAACATTAATACAAAAGGTATCTTCGCTATCTTAAGGATGAGCTACTACACAAAAGCCTAATTCTCCCATTGACATTTATACAAACAACTCAATGGGACTTTGTAATTTTAGAGTAGCGCAGGAATCTTATCTTCATGGACCTAACCTTCAGCCCATACGTAAAATCCCCTTATGCTATGAGCATCATGTCCCTGCTTCACCTTATTTGGCAGTTAGAAAGTACCTTTGTAGTAATCCCCAACCGAGCTCTGATGCTATGAACACTTACATTTACAATCGACTTCAGTACCTGGAATAGCCTTTTCAAAATTGCTCAACCATTGGGTAAAGCTGGGTGATTAAGTGTTCACAAGGCTGAGGGCCAGCCTTAAGAAAGATGCTTTCTAAGAAATCTTAGCCATAGTTGCTGTAAAGCCAACAGCAGCAAACATTGTTTCTGGAAATAAAACAATGTAACAATACAAATGAAAAATTTGGGGGTAGCAGAACATCCGTAGCTCTTAGTTTTGAAGGCACTGCAGTTAATAGAAAAGAACAATGAACATGATCTCAGGTGCCTGCATCTGATACAAGACAATCCTCTCACTATAGAGCCTTCTTAGTAGATTCATGAGAATATATTACTTGTTCCATCCACCATATGATATCCTGGTGGTGAACTATGTTTAAGAAGATTTGTCTAAAGAGCTGCTCCCAGTTCTTACGTGTCCCTCCAGCCTCTGTTTTTCCTTGTTGCCCTCTACTGCCAAACTCCTTGGGAATGTTGCAAACAACTGTTAACCAAGGCCAAAATTAGACTGGGGTTACCATTAATCAAGTCCTCTGTTGCACTCTCTGGCCTAGTTTTGGTCATCGTGTGAAGCCCTGGCTGCTGTTGCTTTTCCTAAATGCAGTGGATGTTGTAGAGGTGGGACCTCTCAAGGTCTGAGCTTTCACAGTTAGCACTGAAGTAGCTCGGGGAAATCCGCATCTCCACCACCTCACAGCATGGACAACTTACTTTCATATTTGGTATTTCTCAGTGTTTGGCCCTTTATTGCTTCTTTTTACCTATCATCTCTTGTATCTGAAATACAGTATCTTAATTTTTATAGTATATTAGAACGGGAAGCCTGCATTCAACAAATAGCACTCTGAACACTGGAACAAGTTAGGCCATGTTTCCTATGGTTGGTTATTATGTCATACCAGGTCTTATCCTGAGGTTATGAAGTTTCCGCCACGTGCTCTTTGTATGTCTGACTGTCTTCACTGATCCAGGCTGAGTTAAGGGCTGGATACAAGCCTATGCTTTTACATTAAAAGACACGAGAACCACAAACATGTTTTTGCTGTTACAAAAAGTCTGTAGTTTCCTCCAGTATAACAACCTTACCTTAGCATGTAGGCAGTGGTTGGTAAAAGGACAGCTGCACATTCAGCTCTTGCCATTGCAGTGATACCTTCATCACTAACTTCTTCCAGGTGGCTGATAGCCTGGGCTCCTAGTTCAGCTCCAAGCTAAACAAATTGTCAAAAAAATTACAGCTCTCAGCCGATTTAGTAACGCAATACCGTTATCAAATGATTGGAGGAGACGATTCATTATTTATGTAAAATTTACTAAAACAAAAATCACAAAGAATGCTTGAAAGAACAAAGGAAATGCAGAGACAAAATATTACCAATTTACTTCAGGAAAAGCTAATCACAAAAAGGTATTAGCCATACAATACAGTGAAATGCTCCACTGAAGGTGCACTTCAAGTGACGAACAACATGCAAACTATGGGGCAGCTACGAACAACACCATTACCAACTCCCGTTCATAGCGTATTCAGCAGAAGAGGGTTGATAAAACAGACACTGGTTGTAGAGTAAATACTGAAACCGTTGCCTTTTATAGTAAAACACCAAAAAGGCTTTTATGATCAAACAAGATTTCATTTCTTAAATACAGCAGAGAATCATTTGGGTAGATCCCACAGGAAGGGACAATGTTCAAATGATGGTGAAATACAGACTCAGATAGACTTTCTTTAATAAGATAGTTGTGAGCCTATTCTTGACTAACCCATCCCTGTGTGTGTGCTTACTGTGCATCTTATTTGGTGCTGCTAAGAGTACATTTAATGAAAAAGTTTTTTCAAATTGTATATAAACCCTATTTTTGTCATTCTTGGGTTCGTGGATATCCACCTTTCCCATCTCTATCACATGCGGACAATAAGCAAAGTCAATGTTTGATGAGGCAGTGCATGTTACTCATTAAGGTCAATGGTTCCTTGTCCTTAACTCCAAAACTGCACAATGGCTGCACTTTTCTATCATCTATGAATGGTCTATTTTATAAAGTCTTAGAAAAGAAAACCTTGGTTTTGAAAACTGCTATTGTTCCAAAGATTCAGCTCTCACGAAAGCAAAGCAAAAGCAAAAATGGCTTAACTGAATGACTGAACATTAAGAAAGAAGTACCTCTGCAGATTTCATCGGATGGAGTTCATCACCATGGAAGTTAATCTGTAACCCTATATCTTTTCCAGCTTGAAGAATTCTTCTAGTAGAATCCAGATCAAAGACTCCCTTCTCACAGAACACATCTATATTGTTGACATGCACTTCACCACTTAATTTGAGTTCTTTCAGTTTAGGGAGATGATTATTGATAATGTCATCTGCGGCTTCAGTAGCAGTTTTCCCTCTAATGAAAAGAAAATGTTATAGAGCCATAAGAATAACATCCTTGAAGTCTGGCAAGCATTCAAATCACATATGCGATAACTAGATTATTTAGAAAATGACATAAATACAAATCACTCAAAAAACCTTAGTATGTACCGGAAAAAGTTTTGTTTTGTTTTTTTAACTTTTGGTGACAGTAGTTTGGAATATCTCCAGGTTGCATAATTTTGCTTCAATCATTGACTTGATTTTAATCCTAGATTATCATTTAATTTTTAAAACAAAAATTAAAAACTATTCTAATTCACATACACTCAAACATGACTTACTTTCCCTTCAAATAATATTATATCGTACTATATATTCTTTATAAGGTTGGCTTCTTTAGATGTTAACCAATACATACGACATTTTAAAACAAATTCTTCTACATTACTATTTATTTAATCTGACCTACCTATACTGTATCCTAAAACACAACTATTTAAAATATGTAAATGATTCTTGAAATATTTTAAATAGTATGCATGCAATATTATGATGCATGCTTAAAAGGGATTTGCTGCTCCTCCTATGATACCATTCAGAGTCGCTCAAAAGGGATTTGCAGCACAAATTATTTTAAATTTACCTCTGCTCCTCCTATGATACCATTCAGAGTGATTGCTAGGTAAGCGTTTCTAAACCAAAGGGGCCTCCTGAGATTAGATCTGCTAACGTCACAACCATTCCCTCTTACACAAAGATAGCCATGGAGAGGGCAGGAAATGCCTTTGAGAGAGAACAATCCCAAAATATGTAGTAGAGTCATTATTTTGCACTTTTAAGATCTAAAGATGAGTGAGATGTTGAAGCCAAATGTCCGTGACATCTCAATCCTCATTTTAGGCACCATAAAACAAGCACAGACCAACATGACGCGAATGCCATATGTGGGTGAGTGTGGAGTTTTACAGTAACAGTAAATTCAATGAGCCAAACTCTGCTCTGCTTTACAAATGAGGGCGTGCAGTTAAAAGTCAAAGCAGAACCTAGTGTAATTGCCTTTCTTTTGTTCACCTCACACTGAAACAGTTGTTTGGGTTGCTCTGGCTTTTACCATGTCCAGCCTTCTCTTTTCTTCTTTTGGCTCAGCAGTCTTTGGAGGCATTTGGATTGAGCGATTAGGTCCACAGCCAAGAGAAAGCAGAGGAAACCAGTCTGATTCCACTCTTTTGGGGACAACGTCCAAGAACTGAAAACTGCCATTGTTCCAATGCAAGGGACTTTTGTTCAGAGATCACTTTGCAAATTTCTTCCTAAACATGACAAGGGCCAGTGACGCCCTGCCAATCAAAAACATTACAACTGGAAATCCCCAAAATCATGAATTTCATTCAGAACTATGACAAGAGGCACGATCAGGTTTTTTTGCCCCCTGCTTTGAGCTTCTTAGGTTTACTCATAGCTTTCCTAAGCAACTGGAGATACTCGGGAGTCTGCAAGTTCTAAGGTTGGAAGCGTTTTTGGTTTAAATGAGTGCCAACAGAAGAAAACTAAGATTGCTCTAAATAGAGCAGCCATATTTTTCTTTACGACTGCTCAGACTAAAATAGGCTGCACCATTCAGTACATTCTTCAGTAAAGTACTGCCTGTTACCAATGCACTCTATCGTAGACCCACAGAGTAATTTCAGTTGAAAGAGCCTCTGGAGGTCATCTGGGTCCAACCTTCAGTGCAAAGCAGAGCCAACTTGGATCACATATCAGTGGTGCCTTCTAGAAGCAGAAAATCAGACCAAGTTGCTATGTACCTAGTAATCACGAACAGATGCACACAGAAATTCTCAAAGTCTGCCCAAACCAAATTTCCAAATGGGGAAAAAAATGACTAGTGCTGGCAAGTCTGAAGGTAGGCTCCTCTTAAGACTTAAGAGACTCCAGACACTGAGTCTCTACAAGAAACATCACCTACTGCAAGACTTGGTAACGCTCAAGAGGTGACACCTCCATCAATTAAAATCAACTTTCTGGTGATGCTTTGGCTGTAAGCAGCCAAACTTGCAACAGTAAGTTAATCACAAGTTTAGGAAGCTAGCAAGCAAAAGGTTTAGCAAGAAGTTACAAAACTCTTGATAGCAGCCCCAGGAGCTTCTAAGGAACATTTTCCATGAGTGAACATAACATTGTTCTCCTATTCCACGCTAAATGAAATGACTGTAAAATGATTTAAGGTTATCAAGATTGGTGGTAATGAGCTTGCATGACTATGATCATTGTAGAATTATTAGAAGATTATTAGACTCCTTACAGCTATCTTATCAAGAATTGCTATTACATACCTACAGCAAAAGAGAGCATTACTTTTTAAAACCTACATAAATCAAGAAGATTTAAGTAAAAACAATTTTTAACTCAATCTGTTAAGTGCTTGTATGATTTATGCATAACTGAACTACAGAGCAGTTCTACAACATATAATGATGAAAAAAAATTGGCATAAGCATAAGTGACTTGGAAGGCAGCTGTTTAACAACTCCTGGAATTCACAAGATCATCTTATTTGCATATGAATGCTATAAAACAGCAATTCCTAGCCCAAAACCCACGGGAAATAACGTTTCCTTTGAGGTCCTCCACTGTTACCGAAGCTGCAAGAAACGACGAGTTAAAACTTGAGCTCAACAAAGCACAATACTATCATCAGCACGTTGCTCGCTCAAATGCTCATGAGCCAGCAAAGGCTGAGGATCACTACTCTAGACATTCAGTCTTTAGGGTAAGAAAGAATTGGAGAATTCAGGAGCGTGTAATACTCTAGACATGAGTATACAAATGGAAACAGAAGAGGACTTGAGAGGCCCCAAACTAGGAAACGTGGATAATTCAGTATTTTCTTCAGGTCATTTCCTCAAACGCTCAGACACCTACTCTCCTGATTTACAAAACTGTATCTTCACTGCCTATACTTTATCATGTTTGACTTGGATCACTGGAGATGGAACACAGCAGAGAGTGAGATAGTACACTGGTCTATTTAACACATAAGATCTGACATATTTGTACATACTGTTACCTGGAATTTATTTTATTTTGGTGGAAAAAAGACTAGTTACTAAGATTTTAATTGAAATTTTCCCAGAGCTCTTTTGGGAAAGAGGAAAGCATTAAGACATGTATACAATTTCGGTTTAAAACTTTAGTTTTATTTTTCCATTAAATCCTCCGAATTCTTATTAAAACTTCTTGAAAGAACTACTCGGCATTTTCAGTTTTTAGTTACTTTATTTTAACCATCTTCCAATTACTGAAGATGATACAGAGTTTCTTTTGAACAATTACATTAAAAAAGAAACCCCACAAACCTAAAGTAGGATAATTAGATTACAAATAGATTTATTTAGGTCAAGTTTTCCTGAATGTCAGGAGATGTAGTTTTTTGGCATATGCTTTTCTTTTTCTTTTATATGAACATCTCTTAAAGCTTTGCCACAGTATCCCTGTGAATGGTATGCTTGCTTCCATTTTCCGTGCCTGGTTTTGAGGCAGCCTGCTGCTTAGTCCATCAAAATGTCTTTGTTTTGTGCACACTTACCTATCCAGAACTTCTCATAAAATTCTGTATAACATTAATTCATACAATGAAACCTCATAACCTGAAGAGGTTATTTCCATCGTTGGGAAAAAATGCCTAAGTGAGAAAGACTGGCTTGATATGGTACATCTACCTGACCCACAGGGCACTTGGGATTAAGTACATTTACTTTATGCTTATCTTCAGCTCATACCTATAAGATATATGTAATTCCTCAGAAGAACAGTTAAGACAGTTTGCTAAAACATAAGGATTAAATGCAACAATTTTTTCTGTTAGCTGATCAAAATAAAAACCTGAAGCAGAGAGCAAGTTCCAAAGCTAGTGGCAAGTCCAAGCAAAAGAATCTACTGTAAAGGAAACCCTGGAATCAGTGTTACATACAGTGAAAGAGTAACTGCGCAGGTTACTTGTCATCTGGAGGCATGGATTCTGGGCTTTTGTTGGCATTTAGTAGTCATTAAGTGAAGCTCCCTCTCTTCCTTCAAATTAAGATTTAAGATAACCCTTTGTAAACAATGGCTACTGTTTCAAATACACTTCATACTTTAGAAGGGCTGGGCAGATGAAACCTTCCTGAAAATAACAGCCAAGTCTTAATGTAAAGCAGTAGTATTTAAAAAGAGCAAGGCAATCAAGTCATATTACTTTGGAACAGAATGAGCTCCACAGTACGTTGATGAAATGCCAATATCCATGGATCGCTTAGCTCGTTCAATCACTCTGAGCATTTTAAGTTCTGTTTCTAAGTTTAAGCCATATCCACTCTTGCACTCAACTAAAGTAGATCCTGCTCGGCACATACGTTCCAGTCGGTGTTTGAAAGTACTGAACAGCTCTTCTTCGGTGGCCTTCCGAGTGTGTTCCACAGTGAAATGTATTCCTCCTCCAGCCTGGTGAATTTCCATATATGAAGCACCTGCCAGCTTAAAACAAAAACAAAATAAAAAAGCAATTAGCTGTTAAATGGGAATTTTCTATCCCAGGGATTCTGGGATGCTGGAAAGAGCCTTGAGGTCTCTGCAGAGGAGAGAAAAAGAAGAGAAGAACTTACGTTATCTAACAGAAATTATATTGGTTTCTACAGATGAAAAATAGCAGTCAACAGAAAGTAGAAATACTATGCATTAAAAAAAAAACGAGAAGAAACACAGCTCTGTATTTTTATGATGTTACCTTCATCGCAAACTCATGAACCCTGTCACCAGCCCATACTGGATGTGTATGTGCATCTACCAAGCCTAAAAAAAAAAAAAAAAAAGAAACCACAAAGCAAACGTATGCTCAAGTTAGCTCACTGTGCAAGAGAAAAGCTTATGAATATGGAAGCAAATTGAAGAGAAGCTCCCTATAAAGCCTCTACTACTTAAAAAGAAATAAAAACCCAAAGCCAAAAACCTAGGACTTTCTTTAAAGGATTTTTTTTTTTTTGGACTGTACTGAGTGGTACTTTATGCCACATCTCTATGTAAATACATCAGTCGCTCAGTTTCTTTTGTTTTTGATGAAGTTTTTGAACTGTGAAGAGCAGTGATAAACTACAAACTTTGAAATAGTTCATTAGACTTAAAGTTTGTGCTCTTTAAGAAAGCAAAGTGCTTAAGCTGAACTTGGTAGTCTAGCACTTATTCTGGCAATAGTCCACTGACTCCATGGGGAAGGTTTTTTAAGAGCTGCGAAACCAATACTGCTGAACACCAGGATCCATTTCAGATGAAATACATGTCTAGCAGCTAACATGCTAACATCAGCTGCAAAGTTTAAAATGCAATACACTTGATCAGATTCATTTTTTAATACGGTAATTTTCAGAGTATGTTAGTGACTTAAAATCCTGCACTGCCCTTTTGCCTCCAACTGGCTGCGGGCAGGACAGAGAGATTAAGCTCCACAGCTGAACTGTGCATAGACAGAAAGGGAACAGAAGAGATGCAAGTCTTAAAGTCACTCAGAGGGCCAGCTACTTTACATTGTGACCTATGCTACAGGTGAACAGATGTTAGATGAAACAAGAGGAGACGGAGCTCTCTCGTGTAGCCAGAAAGCCAGAGTGCTGCAATTTTGTCCTTAAAGTACTCCTTATAGGGAAACTACTGGATTCCTCCCTAACGCAAGACAGGACTCAACTTTAAAGCAAAAAAAAAAAAAAAAAAAGAGTAATACATTACTTAAAAGTGTCTTTCATGGTATTTTACAAAGACAGGTAAGTGTGGGGTTGGTGGCTTGACTCCATTTGTTGAGCAGGCCAACCTACCAACAAAAGGCTGGAAAAGGTCAGAATGGTAAACGGTGACTGAAACGCTAATTAAAAAGCGCCAGAGACAGTCAAGGAAGCTGTCTGAACAAGCCTGTTCAGGGTTGCTCAGATATATGGCTGGTTTCAAAAGGGTATTTAGTTGTAAATTTAGTGTAGATGTCAAAGACCTCACTGATTTCAACTAGAAATTAGGTTCCTTTGCACTCTTTTTGGATTTGGCTTTGAAACTTATCTGATCTGAAACAAGCCTTGGGATAACGAGACAAGTAGCCTAGCCCATCAGAAATGCCTTTGGGCCACATGATAGCAAAGAACTGCCACAGGCAATGCTCTTGTTATCGACTATAAATTACTGCATTATCAAACCAGTACTGAATGCAGAGGGAAAAGGACTGAGGAACGTTTAAAGCACGTGTACTTTGTGTCTAAGCGGTTCTAGTCATTCTCCCTTGAATCATTATGAAAAAAATGCATCTACCTGGTAGTACGCACTTCCCAGAGCAGTCAATTACTCTTTCAAATGATGCTCCTGAAAACTGATTGCGAATAACATCTGCCTGGCCCACAGCTTTTATATAACCATCTCTGCAAACAACAGACAATGAACAAAGGAAGCTTGTGTTTGTTTAAAAGTCAAGCTCAGCAAGTGATCATTGACAGAGCTCTTGAAGCAAAAACATTTTGAAAGAGCGGGTAGGGATCTTGGGAATTGTTAGCAGGACTGAAGATGCACACAGGCATTGGCTTGCTAATGTTATGAATGCACAGAAAATGACAGGAAAACGCTATGGATTTCAAGCTGTTTGCAATAACTCCTGTCTTGTCCTCTGCTCTGATCCCTTAGGACGATACCTGGATGCCCAGTTCTGATTTCTGCTAGATAACATTTATACTCTCCCCAAGAGAGTGTATATATGCAGGATTTCTCCAGCAAGGTTCTGCAGGGCATTCATGTCCTCCAAAAAAACAACTGTCCTTGCCAGCTTCCACTGCCTATAGCTGAATCGTACTTTGCCGTAGGGTTAAATCTATTTGGCGTCGATCTTCAGTTCGACAGGAATTTTCCCAGCGTGGAGCTTGAGGATTGTACTGGGAATCCCAGACTGCACTGGACAGATCCCCTCCAGACAAGCGTGGAGCTCCACCTCACCTACGTGAGAGGAACTTCCCAGGGCTCAGGTGACACCCCCCCTCCAGACATGCGTGGAGCTCCACCTCACCTACGTGAGAGGAACTTCCCAGGGCTCAGGTGACACCCCTGCTCCTTAAGGCTTTTCTTTCCCCAGCTCTTCTTAAGTCACCAGAATAATAACTGGGAGTCATCACGGACAGCTCACTGAAGGTATCTCTACACTACAGAGCGGAATTTTTAAGAGGCAGATACAATCACAGTTAGAGCATTTGAAAATGGGAGAGAAGAGACACAATTAAAGACATCAATTATTAGCTATAATTCTATTAATCACTAAATAATTTATATGATTGTCATTAGTTCGTGACAGTTCAACTAAAAAAGCAGAGACAGAAAAGATCCAGAAAAGGGTAAGGCTCATGATCAACAACATGCTGGAAGCTATCTTTAAGAGGCTAGCAATGTAAATATAGTATAAAAAAGGCAGCTATCAGGATGTGAATTGAAGTAATCAAACTATGAAAGCTGATCTCAATGACTCATTTCTATCGTGTTGCACACAGCAAGAAAGACCAAGTATATCAAACACATATTCCCCCTGCAAAAAAGGGCCACGCATATCAAACACATTTTCCTTCCCCCCAAAAAACAAAGAAACCTCAGCATACTCCAGCAATTAAATAAGGCTTAAAAAAAAACAAAAAAAAAAGGGAAAAAAAAAGAGAACTGGTCACACACAGACAGATCTACATGCTTTGCTCTGGTACTCTCAGGAGCCTGACACTGAAATCCAGGAATCGAACAAGTGGTAGCAATGAAGCCATTCACATCCCTTAAGACACATTTTTGTCTTCCACAAAGCCTGCTATTAGCTGAACATCCCTGGGGACAACATCCTAAACTTTGCAGCACACCCATTAGCTGGGTACTGCTGACCAAAACCGCCTCCTCTTCAGTTTATGCAGCAAGACGTGCTGTGATCTCTATCCCAAATGCTTCTGAAGAGCACTGCAAAAAGTTTCCAGGTATTAAAATACCTGTAAACTGCTATTCCAATACTACAGGGATGCCAGCAAAAATCAGAATGCAGCCAGGGAAGCAAAATTCAACTGGCAACAGACACCAGACATAGGGTTCAAAGGCAGATTAATAACGTTAGAGGTGGATTTTTCACCCTGGCAAGCTGTCACCGTAGCTGTGGTGGCCAAGGAGCAGTTCACAGTAAGTTCTCTGACCACTGACTTATAAAGTTAAATACATCCCCGCCCCCTCGCTGCAGTCTGCTGTCAAGTCTTTAAAAATGCAGACAAATAAACAGATACCAGATTTCTAATAAAATATCTACAATATATAGATATGTTTAAAGCCTTGACTTATATCTATGTATAAGCCCAGCCGTCCCAGTGCCCCGGGCAGCCTGGCTTTGGCTCAAAGTCCGGAGGC